AGCAGAATGTTTTTTCTGAAAATTCGCGCGGGCGGGAAAAGGGGTTTCTGTGAGGGTGTGGTACCCCTGGCCTTTTTGTCCCGAATTTTTTTGTAGTATCTGGGGGCCCGCTTTCTGCTGGATGAGAGCGCGAGGCCTCTAGTGAGAGCAGTTCTTATGTCCATATATTGAACACTTATGTGTTAGATTTCTGTGGCTTAGAGGGCTTCTCACACCGGGGGAGGGTTCTGGGAGAGTTTAGAAATCGGATGGGGTAGAAAAATGCTCCTAACACATGTCTCATTAGTTACCTCTTCTAGGAGGTAAGGAGTTTATTGGGCGAATACCTTCTCTGACAGCTCGGGTCTCCTTCGGGTAGCTGAATATCGGCATATACTCGAAGAGCGCTCAAGCCTGCCTCTACGCGACCAGGGTATTCCAAGGGTCCCTTCTAGTCCGAAATGTCGAGTTCCATTCTCGAATGAAATTGTTTACGGTCGACTTGTGGCGTGACTCAAATCCCAGAGGATATCAACCCAGTCAGCCGCTGCAGGAGGTCTGAGTTTGGGTCCCCAGACCCACGCAGGTTGCGCAGAGTAGTAGACACGAGGGTCCGAACCTATAAAATTAGCATAGATCTTTTAGAACAACGGTTACATATTTTGCTCACAGCAATTGGCACCCGTTTGTCAGCACTGGAGGCGCTATATTGGCCCTGCGAATCTGAAATCCATACAGCCAAACCGTTTTGGAGTTTCTCTAATACTAGTAGTCGATAGTCAGGAGGGGACTTCTCAAGACACCGAGTGACAGCCTCTAGCAGGGCTAGGATATCGGTATTGCTGATCCCAGCCTGCTTTGCATAAACGTGCTGTAGTGAATCACAAACGAGAGCCAATAACTTTTCGCAAAAGACTTCGTTCGTCGGTTGTTGGTTAAGACTAGGAATGGCATTCGTGAATTGCGGCAAGCGCTTAATACCGTGATTGGGAAAGACGATAGTTTCGAGGAGCTTTGTGATCAATTGAACAGAAACCGAGGAAGTACGACTGCAGCTTTCGGAAACCCTTTCAAGCACAGAAGATACCGCGACGTCACCTTTCTCGGTACGGATAGTCGCGACCATGGAGTCAAAAAGCTCGACCCATTCAGGCAGGGTGTTTTGAAATTGGCTTCCAAATTCCAGAATGGAAACAATCTTATTACAATCGCTAATAATGGTATCATCTCGTTCCTTGCTTGGTGTGCCGATGGCACGCTCCTTTAAACACTCCCTTGCTGCAGATGAGATCGATTTCCAAGCCTCATGCATTAGAGATGGGACGAATTCTATCGTCCCAGTTCTGGTTTCGCAGAGAATTTCCGTAAACTGACACAGTATATCCAATCGAGGTCCTCTTGATGGGTGCCCGGATACACCAAGCCGGATTAGTTCAGCGATAAGGTGGCGGTATTCGGTGGATATTGGTGAATGGCTTGGGGAAAGGATTAAGCCGAATAAATGAAGGATAGGCGACCGTATGATACCCTCTTTCTGGGGCTGGCGACGGGTGGGAGTTTGGGCTGGCAGGAAGGTTTCCTGCATCGTTTTCAGGAGTAGTTTATCGGTAAAGGGTAGTGGCTTGATGATCGATATCATTGACTTTAGCAAAAAGCAAAAGCGCTTAACAAACAGGTCTCCATTGGATTCGGGGTTCGCATTCAAGGATGCTGGGCTGCCTTTCCAAACGCGTTGAAGCATATCTAGCAGGAGGGCGATGGCTTTCATTGATTCTGGAGAGGGTTGTATTTCCTTGCTAGACGCATCGGCTAGCGACTTCAGCATGTGTGTCCATGCCAGTTCAACAGGCGATTCCTCAACAGCGTCGTTACTCCACTCTGCTTTCTGGAAGAACGATTCGAAAACTGGAAGTATTACAGAGATTCTCGACCGCACCCATCTGCAGTCCACTCGCAATAAATCATCTGGCTTTAGCTTCTCTGCCTTAATCGGACTTCTTTCACCCGAGACCTTAGGATGAGAATTCCAAAGTAGCTCTGCCAGAATTGTACATGCGATTCTCTGGTTGCTCCCGTTCGAGCCCAATCGCTGCTGAAATGGTAAGCATATGTATTCATTCCAATATGAATCTAGCCGCTCATATGGGGTGGATGGCCGGAAGGAATAGTAGAGCAGATTGCAATAGCTAGAAACCGCGCGGTCGACGAGGGGGGTAGAGCTCTCATCTCTTCTTCGCTCAAGCTGTAAAAAGATGGGCTTAGACAAAAATGAAGTCATATCTTTCCAAGGGTCGCTTGTTTGGATCGCATATACCAAACAGTCCCATGCAACGAAAGCTTGTATCTTTGTTGCACAGTCACTGCAATTAAAGCACTTCTGGATCACTAGAATCCATTGCTTGAAATGAGACCATGCGTTCAAAGCATATCGCGGTTTGCGGAGAAGCAGGACAATAACACTCCAGATCTGAGGTACAAAAACACTTCCGTCCCTATTCGTCACCATCGCTGTTAATCTAGCGCAGAGTTCATCAATATATTTGGCTCCACTTTCGATTGTCAGGTCGAAAATATTGTGGATAGCCTTCGATATTGATGAGTTCACGCCTAATCTTTTGGAGATTTCGAAACCGAGTGTTAATGCCCGAGAGCGGATATCTTTCACTTTGTTCACCATTCCTTGTATAAGGTGGTCCATCCATAAGTTTGCATGGGGTGCAAGAACGGAAGGTGCTTGCTTCAACAGCTTATCATAGATAGCTAACCGGATAGCAATTACGGACTTGCCATTAAATCGGGAGGTGATGTCCTTTAGAGTTTGTAAAAGGAGCGTAACTTTTCCAGACGTAAGGATTTTCGGATGAAAGGTTTGAACAGACAGTATTCGCAAGTCATCAATGACAATGGTTTTCGGCGTCGACGGGTCTTGAAGGGATCCAATGGCGAGATCGAGGACGAAGCTTTTGAACTCGTCAGAAATATAGCGTGTGAATTCTGGTTTCCAAATAAGCCAGCATAAGAGATTCGATGCTTGGTGAGCAAGAGATACTTCGAAAGGTTGGAATGTATTCGATGATCCAGCGGTGACATCGCGACGGATATACTGAGTTAACAGATCCATTTTACCCGCCAATACCTCAGTTTCCGGTAAATCTGAATACGTTGCGAGACTCCCTAGCAGTTGCATGTATGCATCAGTCCTAGAAACACGGCAATCTCCTGCGAGCTGATGCAATATTGAATCCACCATTCCAGGTAAATCGTCCGTCGGGCTGGATCTCGGCTCGTCCGACGGCTCAACGCTAGCGCTGGTTTTGAGGATGGACTTTGCCGGTTTACATTGTTTGGAAGGACGTAGGCTTCGTAAGTGACACCGCGTCTTCGCGAGCGAGGAGGAAATGTCCGGCGTCCTGATATAGCTCGTGAGTGGGGAGAAATTCACGCGTTTCATTCCTCTTTCCGAGAGCGGTTGCGGGGACATTTCGGAAGAGGAAGGGAGTCCATTGGCAGTCGAAGAGGGACGGTGTAAGTCTGATGTATGTCGACCAAGGTCTATATGTGAAAGGGAGGATGATCGTGGAGGAGTCGGTGGCCGAGCCGGCAGGACGCTCAGCCCGTTTTTGTCCACCATTGCTTATGCGTGAAGAATAGACAAACGAAAACCAAAAACAAAAATCACAAATAAGAAACGAAACATGCTAGTGCATAGAAGTGCTGAATGCAATCAAAGTCATAGTTGGGCTATGGGGTCAAGCCATAACTATGAGTTATCTGCCAGCGTCCCCAACGAGGTTGAGGCATCGCGTTGCGACGCGGTCGTGCTGCTCGACGCGTCGACGCTGCAAGTCGCGGAAAAACCAATTTAGGCCCAAGCGGGATCTTGGCGCTTAGTTAGGCGGTTAGTCAGGAAGGGCTACGGAGTACTATTTGCGCCCGATGTGCACAGCGTTTGGCAGAGGAAGACATAATAGTGTCTAAGGGAGAAGAAGGACTACATACGCCTTTCTTCCAATCTTTCCTTGAGATTCAGTCAGCCTTTCTGGGCAGTGTTGCTTTAAGCCAAAAAATGTGCAAACCACATTAGCCCAAGAAATGTGGTCATCGAGCAAGCTGTATGACAAATTCCGGAGCTACATTTCAATAACCTTTCTGAGAAATACGAAAGTTCATGATAGTCTGATCAATTCGGATTCAAATGCCCTGGGATTCGCATGGACGACTGACATCAGGATGCAGGTTGATGACATGCATGGTTGAAGCTTTTAAACTCGCCGATCACCGGGGGAGGCGAAGTTTGGCGAGACTTGCGGATGGTGGGACCCCCATTGAACTCTCCGCATGGTGACTGATTGAATGCGGGAAAGCTCCAAGGACGACCACAAAGCCTTGGGCAGCCAGATGAACGTCAACCGCAATCCCACCTTTTCAATCAACTCGCATCGCTTGGACGGCTTCCTCTTTTCCTAATGCTTTAAAAGCATGTCTATTCCGATAGTTGCTCGTTCATAGTCGCTCCAACCGATACAGCCAAAGTTCCGGTCGCAAGCCCCCGCCATTTCGAACAAGATAGCTCTGCAGCCTGAGCTATATTTTTCCGTTATCAATATGAATACGCGAGAACTGCATGGTCAAGGTATGCCTGTCGGAGCGGTATTCCTTACCTACTAATCAAAGGCCAAAGCTAACGCCTTGTAGAAAAGCTGCATGAAGTTACACGACTTCTCAATTTCCTCAAAAAAGATGTAAAGGAGAGAAGGCTCGAGCGGACCAGTATGTCATGACACTTACTGGTCCACTATTCTTGCTAAGCCCAGTCGCAATAGAACAGATTGAAATCCTTCAAAAGCTCCGGGTGCATGGGCGCAAGACCGAAAATGCTGGCCCCATTTTTGAAAAAGAGGTGAGCTCGGGGCGCTCTATGATTAACGCGCAGGTTAACTTAGTAGTAGGGGATCGATGTGCTCTCATCGTACGGATTTGATGAAAGTGACCCTGAAGTAGCCCGCGAAGCGCTTCGCTGCCTTGCCAATGCTCTCCTCCTTGAAAAGAGTACTCGTCAAATCTTTGTGGATTTAGGGAATGGCATTAGAGCGGCTGAAAAACTGAAAGTAAGAGCCAATACCCATTTTTGTAGAAGAAACACTGACTTGCTACGGTAAAGGAAGAGAATTCGGACGATGAATTCCTAGCAGCCCGCCTTCTATTCTTGACAACTTATGGTTCTGATTTGGATTATAACAAATTATTTGACGAACATGGTTTAGCAGAGAGCACAAACAATGTATGCTGACCAATGTGACTGATGATACAATATGCTGTGCTGACGTTTTTAGCACATATATCGCCATTCTAAACAATTTTCGAAAGGGAGAAAGAAAAAGCTGGCCCAAATCGATGAGCTCGGCCTCTCAGAGTGCTTGAAAATGATATTCAATATTACAAGTTTTTATCCTCACAGGGCTGATGCATTCTCGCCATCGATTCCCCATATCTTGAAAATTCTAAGCCGCATCGAGATACCCACGCCGCCATTGCAGGCACCCGTGAATTACCTTATTAACACTCTTCTCAATCTTGACCTTGAAGCTAAAAAGACAAAACATTTTACCACGAATCCTCTTTTCCCCAAGTTCGATCAAAATTGCAACGTGGATAAGCTCATCAATATTCTAGACCAAGCCGTTGCTATGCACAAGCCGGAACATTTGGAAACATTGGCTGTGCCCCTTCTGACCCTCCTGAGGAAAATATACGATATTGCACCTGAAGGACCCCAGAAATACATGGAGTGGCTTCTGCTTCCAGACGATAGTGACAGGGACCTACCGATTGGACAGTCAAATACACTATCATCTAGGCTTTTACGCCTTTCTACATCCCCTGTTGCCCCCAGTCTACGTGAAGGAATTTCCGCACTGATGTTTGAGCTATCTGGGAAAGATGCCAGTGATTTCGTGAGGAATGTCGGCTACGGGTTTGCAGCCGGGTTTCTCATGTCTCACGATTTACCAATTCCCGAAACAGCGAAGGAGGCTTTTAGTACCAAGCCTACAAGAACAGGCGAGCAAGCTATTCCTATTAACCCAATTACCGGCCAAAGGCTCGATGCTGAGCCCCAGGATACTGAAACTCCGATGACTATGGAGGAAAAGGAGCGAGAAGCAGAACGGCTCTTTGTGCTCTTTGAAAGGTAAGGCCTTGGCCTTTGCGAGCTCAATACCAGAAATGAACCTAACAAAGCATTCAGACTTCGCGCGACTGGTGTTGTCAATGTGGAGAACCCTGTTAGAACTGCGGCTGAACAAGGCCGGTTGGAAGAGCTAGGCGACCTTGATTAATGTCTTGTACAGCCTGTTTCGTTGGAGTAGCTATCTTGTCAGAGAGTTTCTCTTGGCTTCCTGGAACATCTTACATGATTTCAAAGAGAGTAGCTATAGTGCTGAAACCGGGAGGTCTGACTTGTCACATTTCCCTTCGATTACCTTTTGATTCCTACTCATAGTTGGCTGGAGAGGTCATTGGCTGGATGCTAACCAATTTTTTGACTTGCATTTGTTCAACCTTGACGACTGACCCCCTTTGTCGATGCCGAAACCAGCAGAGACCAGTGGCGCTAGTTAACTTCATTGCTTATGTCATAGAACAAAAGCTTCAAAAGCTGCGGAGGGGCATTCGAGCGAGGGGCACTTTTTCCTTTGCGATGTAATCTTATACTGCTATCCTTGAACTGCCAGTTTTACTATTTGTAAAAGATCCATAGCGCGGCGCAAACCCGGACCTCCACGCTATTACCATCCGCGCCATTTTTGAGGTCGCCTGCCAACATGTCGCAAGTACCAGCACCTCCAGGGTTCGACCCGGAGCAGGCGGACAATTTAGAAGATGTACGCTCAATGGACTATCTCTAACAGGTACGGGCGAATGCTGACATATGGTCTCCCTCTCCTAGATCGAGAAACAATTCGCCGTCAAAGGTTGGCATCTGCCCCAAAGATCAGGATGTTAAAAAAGGCAATGCTTGTTAACTCTTGAGGGCGATATAAAGCGGTCCAGCAGATGACAACATATTGGGCAATCCTTGAAAAGACACCCGGTTCGAAATTGCGGCTTACAAAACTCGACGACGAGATATACGAGCATTTCAAAGCAGAATTCCCCGAATTCGACCCCAGCGCAACCATTGATGAAGACGAGATGAAGAGCAAAGAGGGAAAGGAGAGGTGGCGCAAGTTTGCCATGGCCTATGAGAAGAAAGTAAATGATTACAATTTTGGCACGATATTAAGGAAGAATCCAAAGTGGGAGTACGGCGAGAAGGAAACTATATTTGGTACGGCATGCGCTGAAAATGCTCTTGATGGACCCTTCAGAGTGCATCTGCTAATCTGATTTTCTTCTCTTTGGTATAATGCAGCGGTTCGGATGCAATTTTACGCCATAGAAATTGCAAGGTAGGTCTCTCTCGTGCATTCAACATTTGCCATATTGCTAAACTTCCATCTTTGCAGAAATCGAGAAGGTCTCAACGATTGGATTTACGAACAAGCACAAAAGGATGCCTAGATTCCCTTTCGCCTCGGAGCACTCGATGTTTCAACAAATATTAAAAAATTAGCAATTTCTATGTGACTATATACTATTGCACTCTCAACCCCCTGATGCCACCTCACAACGATTCAAAACCGGCATTATTTCGCACCTAGCAAATGCAAATACAACTGTACATACCTACCTAGAACAAAGGCGGCAGATGTCGGGTTGTCGTCTACACGAATATCGCAATATCTTGGATGTCATAGAAAGAAACCATCGCAGAGGGCACAGCAATTTTATGGGCTTTGGAGAGGTTGCAAAATATGTGAAAGGAATACCCACAGATTCAAACCATTAATGCATTTCATTCTAGGCAATTCGAGCCAGATTGAATAATAACCGCTAGTTATTCATCTACAACCTCCCTTTCAGCGATAACTCTCTCTCCTTTTGCTCATTTCTTCGTGCATTCTCATGGATATCAAGACACTGTTTCCTAGAAGGGTTGATATTGCGGAATAAACCAAGGATAGCCAAAACCTGCATTGCAGCATCTTGGACTGTGCGGCATTTGTGAGGATGCACGAGCTATAAGGCGAGAAAATTCATTGGTTTCTTTGAGAAAAATCACTTTGAACATTTAGAAAAGCTACACATTCTTGGGCATCCAAAATAACACCAAGGGGGGTACTCCTGTTCAAAAAACAACACAAGAACTCCTACCTGCAAATTGAAAAGAAATAAGAACTCCATAGCAAGCAAAGAAATCATCATGGATAATATACACTGAGCTCAAGCCCATCGGTTTCACCCACACCGGGCGATGGGAGGACACCAAATCCTCCATTTAATGCCATGGCGATAGCACTAAGAGCAAAGCAATTGTAAACGAACGACGGGGTTATAGCTTGGTACTCTATTTGTACGCATGGGGTTGCGAGGCTGGCTCATTCAGGTCGACTTCACCGCGAGATGACGCGGCAGGGGATTGAACGCGAGACAGTGTGGCTTCGGGCGGCAGTTCCTCAACTGGCGGGAGCACGTACTTGGCACTCTTCCACGGCTTGACCTTGAGAATGTACATGGTATCTAGTTCCTCCAGAGTGCGGCCTGAGCCTTCAATAACACCGAAATACACAGTGGCTGCGGCGAGAAAGAGGCAGCCGGCAAACACGTAACCGTATCTGAAGTCAATCTTGTCGGTAATGAAAGGTGTGAAGAAACCGATGAGGAAGTTCCAGAGCCAGTTGGATGCGGTTGCAAGGGCCATCGACTGTGCACGATAGCGGGCGGGATATAATTCTGCGATGATAGCCCAGACCATAGGCCCCCAAGTACTTGCAAATCCGAGAATGAAGAGGCAGGCGAAGACAACCATGGCGGTACCGGCCTTCGGAGTATTTTCCGGAACATCTCTATCCAGGGCGAAGTGACCAACTGAAGCGAAAATCAGGAAGCAGATGAACATCCATCCGGCGCCGACAATCAGGGACTTGCGACGGCCAAAATGTTCAATATTGTATAGACCAAGGAAAGTACTGCCGAAGTTAACAGCGCCGAGAATCATCTGAGTGACGTAGCTGTTGGAGATACCGGCACCTTTGAAGATGACGGTGCCGTAGTAGAAGAAGTAGTTGGCGCCAGTAAGCTGTTGAAGTGCTTGGAGAACGATGCCGAGGACGAGTCTGTATCTCATTCTAGGAGCATAAAATATTTTCCACCATTTTTCGTCTTTTGTTGCCTGATCTTCTTCGTACTTTTGCTGGATTTCAATAAGCTCCTCATGCAGAACTTTATGATTCTCTGGAATTCCATAAAGTTTCATCATCGTGCGCTTTGCATGCTCGACTTTGCCGTGTCTGTAATCGTATCGGGGAGATTCCGGGAAAAGGCTCATCCCAAGTCCGAGGATGAGAATCCACAAGAAGGTTATGGCCATCGGGATTCTCCATGAACCGGTGTTATCCATGTCCTCGGTCCCAAAGTTGATACAATTTGCGACGAATATGCCCAGGGTAATGAACAATTGATATGTGCTTAATACATTGTCAGCAAGAGATCCCCGAAATACTGTTCCCTTTTAAAGAGTCTCTTACCTGATCATAGCCCCACGGATATGTCTTGGAGCACTTTCACCTTGGTATAGAGGAACCAACAACGAAAGGGCACCCACACCAAGACCAGCAACCCAACGACCAATAACAATTTGATACCATTTAGGTGATTCCGAAGTCACTTGAACTATGATACCGACGGCGAGAATAACACACCAAGAGGATATCGACCACTTTCGTCCAACCCGGTCTGCGATGGGACCGGCAGCCAATGCGCCCATCAAAGTACCGACTGAAAGCTGTGTGGGGAGATTTAGTATTAGCATCGGAACGGTTTCTAAAATGGGAAACGTATAAAAGGAATAGGCGCATTGGAGGAAACTCACCAATGCTACAATCAAACCAGATCTGACGTTGCTGAAATGGTAACCGCTGCCAGTCTCATCTTTCTCGCCGAACCGTTGTAGAAAGTCTTCCATGGCTAAAATCCCTGAGATCTGGCCGGTGTCGTAGCCAAAGAGAAAGCCACCCATGGACACGAACATGCCCATGACAGCTGAGCGCCATGTTATTAGTCGGATTGGAGTTTCCACGAGCTGACCAGCATGAGACTCATGGCGCGCTGAAAACTCCTTTTCTGAATCAGAGGCGACCCGGTGGTTACGCCCGAACTGGAAATAGCTCTTGAGCTTCTCCATCCTGGCTTGGAACGTAGAGCTCGACAGCTATAACAATGTCTTCCAACACTTTGAGAAGATCACGAAATGGAGTGTTGATGGAAGGGAAAAAAAAAGTCCTTGGAACGATCGTCGCCAACTTTCGGCAGAGTGTCTATATTTTATGTTCGACCGACGTGGAGAAAGTTGGAGCCCTGAAAATTTAACATATCACACGTTCCCCGAGCCGTCAAAGAGCCACACCGAGTATATCCCAGTTTCTCCGGCTTTTGTAAGAGAGGTAAGAAAGGCGAAAAAAAATGTATTTCGAGCATTGGACCAATCCTGGCTCAGGGAAAGAAACGCCTTCGGGTCATACCCACGGGGAGCAGGTCCTTGGAACCGAGTCTCGGAGGCACACAGGGCCATCGGACGAGGCGACTTTTGTGTCGCGTCTGGGGGAGGCATTCTCTAAGTCCCGTGAGTGGAAGCCGGTTTTCTTGATATCCATGGCTCAGCTTTCGCGCATGGAATTATGATGGAATTCTGCAGCTCGTTAGCCAATGACAAGATGGTTCCGATTTGCCTTTCGGACTTGGAAAATCAGTGGAGCGGCTAGATATGACGTATGGGGTAAGTAACGATTTCGGCAAGGAGCCATGATCTCATCTGCAGCAACAGCCGTAACTGAGCCAGTGTCTGGAGAAGCGGTGTCCTGTGATGTGGCCAGGATCTGATCTCAGCAAAGCACGATAGCGAATCTGGCAGTACATACACAAGCGAGCCATCCTGTGGTGCCAGGGCTCTCTGCAGCTCATCAATCCTGCCTTAATTCAAGCCATTTTCCACTCATAAAGCAACGTATTTCGTTCAAGGCCCGGGAGAAGCTCATCACCACCGTCTTGAATGTGATTTCTTCAGCCTGAAGTGTGAGAAATGGCCTCAAAAGTGCCAAGAATAGTAGATCACATGACCAGAGCCATTTTCGATGACTAAGCTGTGATGAGTCAGCGCTTCCTCCGCTTCTTCTGGTCGTCGCGAACGATCCCAAGCTGCCAGCTATTTAAATTAATACTGTGAGAGCGTTGCGCACCACGGACCGTTGGTCTCGATCATAAGAATTTCATCCTCTTGATTTTGGTCCGGGCTGCCGGGATGCAGGTGACGGGCACACCAGTCCTCCAGGATCCCATCAAAGGCCATGCGCTATTTTGCAGACGAGGCCCTTGTCTCTCTTGCAATTGGATCAACAAAGAGCAGACCTGCTATGAATAGCGAGCTGGCTGCTCTTTGTGCAGATCAAACCCCTGTAACCCAACAATACGAAAGAACAATAGGAAGAAATCCCACAGATCCACATTGAGACTCCCTCAAAGACTGGCAGATGTCCAGATCTTTGGAGTCACAGTCAATATGCCCTCAAACTCCGTTCTGGCGATCCTAGAGGTCGCAGCAGGTTGCTCTGCTGCTTTTGAAAACCAATATTTTTCATATAGTTAATCAGTTTCTCTGCCAACACAGTCAATAATGACAGGCAGTCACGCCACACCTCCATGGCTCCAGAGACATCTTATGAAGCATCGATGGACCAGGTGTCGAGTCTCCAGCTAGAGCCGAAGAGAGAATGGAAATTCCTATTTTACTTTACGACGAGGAGGCATCTCGTACCCTTGATTGGAGGTTTGATATTCACCGTCGCTGGTGGACTTACCGTTCCTCTTCTTGCCGTCTTACTTGGTCGCGTCTTCAATGAGCTGACCAATTTTGGTGCCCATGCAATCACCGCTACGGAATTGATGGACACAATCGCCCGTCACTGCATATATTTGGTGGCTCTCGGGTTTGCCATCTGGCTCTTCCAAGCCATTCACTTCTCGTTGTGGATCGTTTTCGGAGAACTACAGGCAAAAAGAGCTCGCGACGAGCTTTTTGGAGAGTTGCTCTGTAAGGAAACAAAGTGGTTTGATCTAACCCCGGACGGAGTTGGTGCACTTTTGCCGCGCATTCAAGCGTAAGGGGTAGCCAATTCAAATTTACATGATCCCGGCTTGGGCTAATTCCCGTCAGGCACGTTCGTGATTTTCAACTGGCCGTTTCACAGCCACTAGGGTCCATTTTGCAAAACCTGGTCGCTTCTATCACGGGCCTTGTGTTGGCTCTCTGTATATCATGGAACCTGACGCTAGTCTGCCTCGCCACTGTCCCTATTTGCGCCTTCATCATTGGCGTGATATCAACAAAAGTCCAGCCCGAAATTGATGCACAGCGCCTGGAACTTGACAGGGCGTCTAAACTAGCTATCAGTGCAATTTCCTCCATTGATGTTGTCAAACAGTTGAACGGAGAAGCTATGGAAACCGATAACTACATGTCCGCCATTCAAGCAGCTGCAAAACACTATCTCAAACAAGCACGACTTACCGCCATTGAAATAGGGTCCATCAACTTATTGACTTTTGGCATGTTTGTCCAGGGTTTTGGGTATGGGGGTTACCTGGTTGCAACAGGGAAATTGAATCCGGGACGAGTCTTGACTACCTTTTGGGCGTGTCTCCAGGCCACACAGTCCATCGAAAGCATTGTCCCCCAATTGCTCGTTCTTGAGAAGGGGAGAGCAGCGGCGACAGCTCTTAAGCACATTCTTGGCCACGTCCAAAAACCAAATTGTTCCCCTGGCTCCAACGACGACGTCAAATCTCCGCAGTTTTGCGAAGGAAACATCAAGTTTGAGAACGTAAGTGGTCGGGTCACTCTTTGGGGCGAAAGCTAAGTACTTGCAAGGTTACTTTTGCGTATCCATCGCAGCCAGATCGCTTGGTTTTGGATAACTGCTCTTTTTATTTTCCCGCTGGCGATATGACCTTTATTGTCGGAAAGAGTGGATCCGGGAAGAGCACTCTAGGCAATTTACTGCTACGATTCTATGCCCCCGCCTCTGGAGAGATATTGATTGACGGGAACCCGATAGGCTCTCTGGATATAAGTTGGGTTCGAAACAATATCACTTTGGTCCAACAGCAAAGCTCATTGTTTAATGAATCGATTTTGAGAAATGTTGCTTTTGGTGCCCGAGACTCTACTCAGGTCAAACCAGATGACATCGCCAACTGCATCTCCCTGGCGAGCTTACGAGATACTATACAGGCCATGCCTGAGGGGCTCGATACCGTGGTCGGATTAAGTGGCAGTCGTCTCAGCGGCGGACAGCGGCAGAGGGTAGCTTTGGCGAGGTCGCGCCTCAGAGATACCCCCATCCTGATATTGGACGAGTCAACTAGTGCCCTAGACTATTACACAAGGATATCCATCATGAACTCCATTCGTGAATGGAGAAAAGGCAGGACGACCATTATCATTACCCACGATTTATCACAAATCAAGGACAATGACTTTGTCTATATGGTCGATAAGGGAAAGGTCTCCCGTCAAGGGTACAAACAAACGTTGGAAGGCGGTTCGTTGAGCGCCGTTTCTCCCGCTGCCGGAGATAATTCACTAGGAGGGTTCAGTTATATCGACCGCAAAGGCCCGAATAGGCCTCAGAGCTTGCCAGCAAAACCTACTAGCTTAGACTGCTCGATCGATTCTCGTTCCCCGCTGGTCTTCTCACCGGCTCCTTACTCGCCCATTCTTCGTCAAAGCCATATTCTCCAACAGTCGCAATTCGTGCGTCAGCCCAACCAACCAGGATCGAGTGGGATCGCAGAGCGAAATGACCATGTCGCAATCGAGGTGACTTCCCGGCAAGTTCGAGAGTCGAGTTTGAACCCAGAGAAAGGCAAATTTGAGGAAACTATTAAATCACCTGCCAGCGAACATTTTGAAGAAACGCAGCCGCTTAGAGACCGATTTTCACCCTCGGGTACTTCACTGTTGATTCACCGACCCGGTTCCCTGTTCAAAGCATTGTGTACCGTTCTCCCGTCCCTATCTAGGACAGACACGATTCTGTTGGCCCTTGGGTTCGTTGCTGCCTTTTTTCATGCTGCTGCTACACCGGCATTCGCTTTTCTATTTTCTCGTCTGCTGAGCACTTTTTACGTTACTGAGAATCGTGTTCGGGCGGCACTCCAATACGCATTGGGAATTCTAGGAGTATCGGTTGGAAATGGGGTTGCGTCCTTCTGGATGCATTACCTCCTAGAACGGTGTGGACATGCCTGGATCGATCGGCTTCGCCAACGAGCGATGGGTCGTATTCTCCAGCAGCCCAAACCATGGTTTGAGAAGGATTCCAGCCACGCATCAACTTTGACAAGTTACTTAGATCACAACGCGGAAGAAATGAGGAATCTTGTGGGTAGGTTCGCCGGCTTTATGTTCGTTGCTGCTGTTATGATGGCAATGGGGACGATTTGGGGCATGGTCCTGTGTTGGAGACTTACCTTGGTTGGATGTGCTTGCGCACCGGTCCTGTATGCTCTAACACGGGCATTTGAAAAGATCAGTGGATATTGGGAAGGGCGTTGTAACCGTGCTTCTGAAGTGGTAGCCGGTATTTTTTCCGAAACATTCCTTGATATCCGCACGGTTCGGTCCTTGACTCTGGAGTCTTACTTCCACAGAAAGCATTTCCGGGCGAACACGGAGACATTGACAATAGGGATGAAGAGAGGGTGTTATACGGGCTTTATGTTTGGATTGTCAGAGGCATCAATTACTTTTGTCTATGGTATTACTCCCAGTGATTTGATGGCTCTATGGACCTGTCTTTGACCAAGTTGGCAGCGCTCGTCTTTTATTATGGAGCATTACTGGTGTCGTCAATGCTATATTCCACAAAGGGTGTCTTGACAGTCTTTTCTCTGTTGCTCTTTAGCATGGCAAATGTGAAAGGAGTCCTTTCGCTTGGTATGAGCTCAACTCTCCTTTCCACCTAGCAACCAATACTCACGCATCATGATAGTTCCGCAAATTAGCGCTTCCAGGGATACTGCCACCCAGGTCTTGCAGTTGGCGAGCCTTTCCAATGATAGCTCCCACGAGTTCAAAGGCCAGATGCGCATCCTACATCCCGTTCCAATCAAGTTCACGGGCGTGAAATTCAGCTATCCTGCCCACCCAGACAAGCCCGTGTTGTGCGATTTTAACCTAACCATCAATGAAAACACCTGCACAGCCATAGTAGGACCCTCTGGCTCAGGAAAATCTACTATCGCATCCCTCCTTCTTGCCTTATATCCTACGGACACCACGCGGGCCGAACATCCCACGGATCAAGGCCTGATAACCCTTGGGGGCGTAGACCTTCGTGAAATCCACGTTCCTACTCTACGCTCCGTAATCTCCATCGTCCCCCAACAGCCTACAATTTTCCCCACCACTATCCGAGACAACATCAGCTACGGCCTCGAAGAATCGTCCTTTTACAACACACAAGCCAACGTCCGTGCTGCCGCCAAAGCCGCCGGGATCGACGACTTTATTTCCTCCCTCCCATCCGGGTACGACACGATCATTGGCGACGGCGGCGTTGGCTTATCAGGCGGCCAAGCGCAGCGCTTGGTCATTGCTCGGGCCCTGATACGCCGACCTCGTATCTTGATTTTGGATGAGGCGACGTCGAGTTTGGACGTGGAGAGCGCGGCGGGGATCAAGCGGACTGTGAGTAAATTGATGGGCATGCGTGATGGTCGCCGCGGGGATGGGTTGACTGTAATCATTATTACGCATGAGAGGGAGATGATGGAGGTTGCGGATCGGGTTGTTGTGGTTGGTCAAGGGAGGGTTGTTGAAGAGGGTTCATTTGGGGAACTGGTTGATAGGCGTGGCGGTGAGCTGAGAAGATTGCTAAGGGTAAATGAATGTATATGATTAAATGAATGAACATAATAACTCTTGCACGTCATGTATTAGTTGATATAATGTTGGGATTGAACTGAACCGAAAACCAAGCTGCATACTAGTGCTGATGAAAACATGAAAAGACAAATAATTGCGAAAATTGACAGACTACCTTGGACCAAGAGCTTTCAAAGAGACAATACAGTCCTTTTTCACTAATACCAAACCGTGATCTTTAAATAAAATCCCTTCAGGCATTCTCTTCCTTGCCCACTGTACTCCCACATCAACAGCATCACGGAGCAGCGCCGCAGATCCGCTATTTCCTGACTTTAACCATTCAACCTGTAATGTTATGTCAGTATTAGCTTTGGAACCTGGAAGATGAGAGCTTCCGGCGGAGACAGATGACGGACATCCGGAACCCAGAGAGTATAATTGATCGTGGGATACTTCTAAGTGAATCTTAGGAGTATGAAATCGTGCTAATGATCCTGGGGATATGGTATAAGTTGCAGGAACACCGCGTACTAAGATATTTGGCTTCGCAATGTGCCCCTTAACATTGCGAGAGATTGCGGGTAGGAGGGGGCTTCTCTGAGCTTGTAAGAAAGGGGTATCGGCGGCGACAGATTGGGCAGGAGAGCCAAGAAGGATTGTCGAGACTTTTTGGCTAGTATGCCGCTCCTGTGATAGCGTTCTGCTTTGATTAACAGCTTCGGACGGCAAAGGAGGAGAGCCACCTTCATGTATTGGCAGGCCAGGAGCGTGCGATACAGCGGATTGTGCCGCAGAGACAGGAAGTTGTGCATCTTTCTCAGCTTCCTCTTTATTCTCTATTTGATACGACGACTTTGATGGAGTTGGATAAGAATTAAGTCTCGTAGAGAGCTGTTCGTGGAAATCCTCCCTTTCCATTTGGATGTTTTCAGGTTTCTCGACATTCGCGGATGTTCGGATTGTTGATAGAATTGAAGGAGTATGTGATTTAAAGATAATACTTTCTTGCGCGTCGGGTAGCACACAACGCTTCTGGGCAATGGACCTTTTGATTTTGGCTTCGAGGGCCTTGTTGAATTGATCTAAATGCTGTAACATTTGACCTTTTGGACCCTTCGGTAAGCCCATCTCGTCGGGTCGCGGAATTCTCCATCGTGGATAGAAGTTGCCATGGGTGCTGGGCGTATAGAATCCCCCATGGACGGTAATAAATAAGTTGCACAGAAAACATGCTTGTTTATTAGATACGATAACTCGTGGGCGAAGGATCAAATTTTTCTGCCTTTCATAATGGTATATTAGCTGTAGTTCCGCATGAACGCGTTTTTTCTGATTTGAAAATTGCTGCAATTCTTGTATAATTTGTTCCAATCCCTTCCCTGATCGCTTTTCAATGAGGCCGACAAGACCTTTCTGCTTCTTCAACGCAAGTGATCGGCTAAGGATTCCTTTATGAACGGAGAGTGGCTTAGCACCTGTAGTATGCTCAGGAAAAGACCCAGTTGTTTCCTCTATGCGTAAATCTTGAAACATTTGAAATTTGCGAGCGGCACGCAATAGATACCGAGCGGCCGAGCGATATTGGTGGAGTTTCACAAGCCGCTTAGTTATATTGTACCCAGGATCGCCAGGCCTACTCAAGATCCCCCTGGTGACGATGGGTTGGAGTATCAGTCTCACGTGTTGAAGGATATCTTTCAGAATCACCCTCCCAGGATCTGACCTGGCGTCGTCACACGGTAGGCTCTCCAGAGCCTTGAACGAATCTACCAAAAGCTTCACATGGCCCCAATAAAGATCGGGATTTTCAAGAGGGTATTGTTTCCAATCTATATTTTTCAGGTTATCGCGAAGCTTGGGTAGAAAAGGCGTTTTGAGGCTTTCCCGTGAAGACGGCGCATGGCGCGACCGAAGCCGACCAAGCAAGCGTAACTGGCAGGCGCCGATGATGTCGTCCAGCAGCGTTTCCTCGCGCTCCTGATGAGGCTCTACACAAGTTAGTGATGAAGTGATTCGGTGTTCGTCAACTGACCTACTGATGAAGCCTTCTTCAAAGCACGGATTATTTTTGTAAAGATATCTCGCCGAGCTGTTTGATTCCCGCAGTTCACAGCAGTCCGAATAACAAGACCATGGCCATCAGGCTGTTGTTCCACGCAAACAGCCCCAACTTTCTTGCAATCATCAGTGTTCGCCAATAGAATGGCGAAGGCTTCCGCAGTTCGCTGCTCTTCCTTGAACGACAGAGGAAAGCGAGCAGCGTATTTTTCGTCGGTAAACTTAGCTGGGACATTATTGCGGGCTTCTGGCTCTTTAGCATCCAGTAGCCCCAGCAAGGCTATATTCTCCGTGATGGCATCAAGGGGAGGCATCCTTCAAGGAGCTGCTTGTCAAAGGGCTCAACATCGTCGACAATCGGACGGGGCTTTTCATTGCTCTCCCCCTCCTCTGTAAATACTTTCACTGTAATCAATGCGATATGACGTGGCTTTATAGTGATATGCAGAGCGTACAAACGCCTTTCTGATTAGTTAGCTCTCCCTGTGTGAGATGCATGGTGTTGATGCGAGGCACAGGCTGGACAATCCTCCACAAGGAGTCATTGGCCTATCAATCCCGCCAAGGATGCAGCTTCTCAAACCCCTCCTGAGCAACAGAGTTGGCTGCATATTGTCCTTCATTTCAACTGACTCGAAGGAGGTGTTGCTGTGATCTTTTGGCGTGAGAGATCTCAAGATGTTGACTGAGGTTGAGCCCTTGGCGCTAGTTAACTAGTTAGTGAGGCTAAGATTTAGTGAAGTTTGCACGACATGCCCGTCCAAGTCATGGAAGCAGCTAGAGAAAGGGAGGAATGTCTGATATTCAAGCCCTGAGGAGAGGGCGAAAAATCTGGCCTCCAATAACTAAGTAGTTACAGGTATGTTCTTTTCGTTCTTGGTTCCCTGATCTCATCCAGCATCCGATATCAATTCCAAGACCCAAGATACTTCTGGCACAACCGATCAAGGAGTTCGCTTTTCCAATTGCTTCCAAGCCTTATCAACTGCTTTCCAATATCTTTTGCCAAAAGAATCCACGTGTGCCACATGCCCAGTTCCATGAAACAATTCCTTTTGAACCTGTCCACCATTCAATTGCATCTCAAAAGCGTGAGCTTCGATATCCTCTGATCGGACCATGGTATCCTCCTTCGAATACATGTAGACCCTCGGTGCACGATTGTCAATCAAAGTCCCATTGTTCAAGTCCTGACGTGCCCGCGTGATCATATCCCCCACGCCGAACCACTGAACAATCCACATGCAAATGAGAAACAAATGTGCAAAGAGCCCCCCGATCATCTGAACCATCTCCGGTGCACAACTCATAGAAGACTTGATTGCTTGTAAGCGGCGTGTGTATGAGCCCGCCCCAGGGGTAGAGTCAAGAACCATCGCGTCAATCGGGAGATAGGTCTTGGACTTTTCGTTGTAAGCGCGCGCCAATTGAGAAGAGGCATAGGCCCCTGCGCCTGAAAAGAGGTGAAGGAGGATTCGGGGCTGCCTCTTTTTGCTTTTGTCCGGAATGTCGGAGATATCGCTTGCATCTGGTGCATCCTCCTCTGATAGAGCCTGGATAATGTCCACCACAGGGCCGAGGTCTCTGCGTTTCCTGCTAGCGGGGAATAGAACCATGTCAAGGACGGTGCACGAGATGTGGATGATGGTTGCATTCGGATAACGGGCGCGGTAAACCGAAGAGTATCGTGCAACTTGTTGAGGCTGCGCAGCCATCCATGTCACCAGAAGGACGAGCTCGGGTCCCTTGGTCTTTTTTCTAGACTTTCCATGGACTGGCAATGGCGTGTTTCGTGAGGGGCTTGAAATCGTGACGCCAGTGCTGAGATGGTAGAATTTGACCTCTGAGTTTGGTTTTGCGGTCGGCATGATGGGCGAAAGTCGTTCAGCGTCTGATTGAAAATCGTTGATCTCGGCGACGCGACGGTGAGATCAGAGGCACCTCTATATCGAAAAAGGAGAGATATGGTCACAAGTTCAGCCTGCACAAGTGGCCATAGTGATGGGATAGCAAACAAGAGGTGCCAGAAACGAACTTGGTTTTTCAGAGAGGAGGAACAGAAGAGAGGGTGGGACAAATTCTTCGCGTAGCTTCTACCTAGTAGGTTGCTATGGTCAACCGGCATCCTCCGCTAACAAGAATATTGGGATAAACAGCATATTTGATACAGCCCAAAGAGTCACTAGCGCCATTTGGCACCCATATCATAAGCTATTAGCGTAGAGCTCCAGTCATGGGCTTTGTGTTCCTGATGCGTATAATCCGTGAAAGTGTTTTCATTCAGATGTACATATATTCATACATATATGCATCCTCTCAGTGATGAAGTGTGATTATCGTTTGCTAGGAATCTTGAGACTCCTCCAGCAGCTAAAACTGTTCTTGATATTGGCCAGCCTGACAATTTAAAAGCAGCCATGAAGCAGTCGGGTATCTAGGAAGTAGCTTTAATCATGCACTTCATTCATGCTAGCCATGAAAAAGCCTTTCATACGGGTTGAAAGGAGGCAAAACATGAATATCATAGGTACCCCCAGGTCGTGTAGCTTCAAGGGCTGACAGCTAATTGACAGGATGGACATGGCCAGGCGAATCACCCATCGGTTGACGATGGAAGAAATATAGGAGTTCTCATCAGGGATTCCTGATGAATCGACAACCCTATATTTGACCCACAAGTTCCGCCGGGCTATCCATTGGAGAGGACTCGAATCCGCAATAGACGTGGCATGAAAGTGTTTCCCGTGCAATGAGGGAATTTATTGACAGTGTCGTTTGCACTTTCAGTCAAAGCCGGACTGGATTTCCCTGCAGTTTTGTCTGGATTTCTGCTCCAAATATCACGGTGCAGCTTCATGCAATGCAGCGCAGATATCGGAGAAATCGCTGGCTTTTGATGTCGCTGTCAGCCTCGCGGGTTGGGCGGGTGCAGTTCCACCAACCAGCGAAAGGGGCTGAAGGTGCCGATCGCATAGGGCTGGCGGTCTCAGCAACTCGTCGATCTGCTCTCTGCTGTCTCTCTTTGCTTTGTGACGGACGATTCCCAGTAGCAGATTAATTTGATGCTGCTCTGTGTGACCGGCTTTCGTTCTGGATTTGATTCGATCGTGCGAGGAGTGAGGTTGGTGGTGGTTGTTCCACAGTCCAACTCCCAACGCTTGCACGCGCAACGTTCACTTTTGTTTCCACCGTTGAAACACCGTTGGAAGTGCTACGATGGCTATCATCTGAAAAGACCGCCTAAAGCCACTTGCGCCTATTCCTTTGATTGATTGTCGCCATGATAATCAAAAGGGACCGCTCAGGCGCCCAATCCACAGACATTATTGTGGTGAGTTCGACATGATTTTGAGCATCGGCTCTGCGCCTCATCAACCGACTAACGTGCGTTTGTTGGACTGTCAGGGTGGTGTGGTTGTCCTCGCCGTCCTCTGCCTTACGATCCTCATTTTCCTCATCCTACGAACACTCCGTATTCGAAATTACGAACCCAGATTCCTCCCAACCAATTTTTTAAAGCGCAAATGGAAAAGCTGGAATCCACGGTCGACGGCGTACGGCCAGGTTCCCCCCGGGTCGACACCCGCAACGGAACAGGTTGGCACGTCGGCGATTGATCAGTCGCAGAGTACGGCGTATCAAGGCAGCGGAAGTGCGCACACTGAAGCCGCACAGGTAGCAATTGACCGAAACACCTCGATCCGATCGATCATGACACTTCCCGCATATTCGCCCAGCCCGAAACCATCTGAACAGGTGATTGGAAGGGAGGGCGAACGGGGAGGCATGGACGTTGTGGTGGAATTTCCGGAAACAGTGGATGAGGAAGAGAACCGCAGAGAACAGGAGATGGAATCTCTCTATCAGATTAGACTCGCCCGCAGACGGGAAATTGCTGAGCGGGAGGAGCGGCGTCGTCAACGCCGGGAGGCACGCGAACGCGGAGATCGGGTGCTTCTGGAACGGCTTCGGGCGGAGAGTCGCGCACGGACAGAAACTCGAGCGAACGACCGGGAATCTACATCTGCGGCGAGTCTGTTGGCCGAACATCGATCGCGGGGACGAGACCGGCGAGTATCAAGTGTCTCGTACGCAGATGTTGGCCACGTCCGCCACGACGGCTCCAGGGTTCGTGCCAGCTCCCAAGGTTCGGATTCTAGGCCATTGTTGGACACTGCGGCTTCAATGGGTCAGGATGGCAACGGACATCTGGGTATGCATCATCGTACATTTTCCGGCACATCAATTCTGTCCCAATCAACCGTTTCCGACATGGACAATAGCGGCACTCCAGGGACCGACATTGGCGATTCAACCATCTCAAATCCTCCACCCTATGAACATTTGGATTTAGACGAGGCACCCCCCTACTCTGACGTGCCGCAAGACTCCAGCCGACCGGCTGAGCCCCCTTCAAACAGTACTGTACCTAGTATCGCTGTTGAAACTGCCACACCGCCTCCAAGCACCCCTAGCTCTCCTGTCTCTCCCAGACGAAACTTTGCATCGGCCTCCACATAGCCGTCTTCTGTTTTGCGACTTCTTTCTCTTTTGGATGACCGCCGAGGATTATCTGAATCAGTATAATATACTCACGCACTCTACCCCAACCCAATACACCAAGTTACGCGACAAACACCTTCAAGCATGAATTACGACGTCTAATTTTTCGCTTTTTCTTTCTCATTTGATCTATATCTGCCTCTAATCTATCCCCACCTTCCCAGTAGCTTGGATATTTACTGCCTAGGGATTCTGGCGTTTCCGTGGCGCCTTTAACTACGACGGGATGGCCTTTATAATATACTGAGCAAGTTGCATACTAGATCTCGTCTATTTTCTGATTAGCCCGCAATTCTTTTGTTTCTACTGCACAAGACAACGAAGATATCGAGGATTTGGAAATCAGATTCCAGTAATAGCTTCAATCTAATCATGGACCTCGTCTGCTCTCGTAGTTTCCGCGAAATAGGGGTTGATGGATTATATAATCAGAGTGTGTTCAGTTCAGGGATCGCGCCTTCCCGTTTCCAGGCTTAGCGCGCCTCCAGGGAACGTAAACAAACAACGCCTGCTTCCCGAACCGCAACGACAAAGCTCCATCGACGAGGAGGCTTCGACGACGGCCTGCCAGCGAAGCCGAGTAACTCCTTGTTGAGCTTTACGTGTCTTTTTGGATATCAGTTTAGGACTTCCAATTTTGCATCCTTTCGTCTTGTATCGGATTCAGCACCCAACCGACGCGTAGCTTTCAGAGGTTCGTTCACAATCTATAAAAATGAGCATGAAGCTATGATAACACGTCTAACTAATTTTGATACAGTAACGGCCGTGTCTAGCTGCAATGCTTTCCCGCGAACACACAGGCACCTCCGATGTGCTAGCCAGGAGCCATCCATCGAGAGACTCTGTGTTTGCAGCATTTGATCGTGATAACGACGCTCCAGTATCTATGGGACATTTTGACAAAGACGACGATGTGCAGGAAGATGAGGAGCTTGATTACGCGATTGACACCTCAGCGCTTCACAGAGCATTGCCGCAATTTACAGATATCAGCAGTTCGGATGAATCCGAAGCCCCATCGATAGAAATCAGTAGAGGAGGGAGAAAGGTTTCACACCAAACGGATTACACCCATAGCTCGATTTTTTCGCCGGAAGATAGTAAACCAACTGCATCACCGGCAATTCGGCGGGATGAACTGCCTGAATCCAGATTGCCCAGACCAGCCTTGCGAGCAATATCCAACAGAACGGCAATGAAAAATCAGGACAGTCTTCGCAAAGACGCCCAAATCCGGCGGGCAAGCCATGTCTCGCAGAAAGAGAATCTCGATCCCAAAGCACTCAAGGTTCGGGGTGGGAGGCAGGTGAACCTGAGCCGCCGCCCCTCGAAAACTCAACGCCGCACGTTGTCCGACATGCATGCAAAGGTCATGGAGACTTACGAGGACTCATACTTGAGCGACGAACGACCCCACAGCGCAGATGCAATGTCTAGAAACACGCGTTTTGGAAGCAATCGAACTCAAAAGAAGACAGAAACAGTTATGGAAGCTGTGAACAATGCTGCTGGAAGAACGTATGGTGAAATTGAAGTTGGCACCACGGCTGATGTTACGGAAGATCCCACTGATACGAACGACGTTTTGCGCGAAGCCACTAACCCTCACGAGTCATTTCTTTTGCCCGACATACCGGATTTGTCAGAGCTGGTGTCCGGCATCTACCAAGAAGCGATGCCCGTAAAATCCCGCAACTCTCGGTCTCGTACGACGCGTTTTGCATCTCCGCCTGCTGTAACGATTACAGCAGCGGCCGATGAGCATGTTCCTTTTGATGGTGTCCCTATTCCAGATGATGAGAAGGCGATATTTGCGTCGCTCAGGCTCCTTCAGGAGAAAGTTTCCACGTTGGAAAACGAAAATTTGCTTGCTGAGCAAAGGGTAGAAGACCTTCAAGTAGAAAACCAGCTGCTTCGTGCTGAACAGTCCAAAAGTCAAAAGGCAGAGCAACGCAAAGCGCGTGTTTATAAAGGAGGAGATCAAGACTCTGGTCGAGGTGCTGCGACGCTGGCTATTCAGAAAAGCAGTGAGTTGAATCAAAAGTTATTTGTGATGCTGGCTAATTCAGCTTAGGGTTGGAAGCCGCCAATATGGCACTTCAGAATCGTCTGGATATCGCCAACCATAAAATCTCAGGGCACGAGGGAAATATGCGCAGGGTAATGAAGGAACGTGACTCTGTAATGAACAAGCTCGGCGTTGCGTATCTTAGTTGTCAAGAGCTTCGTTCCCAGAACGAGGCATTGCGCCGAGAGAATGAAGAGCTTGACGGCCAACTTTCACTCTTGACGTCAATGCCAAAATTGGAGCAGTCCAACTCGGATGTTTTGTCTAAGTCCAGAGCATTGAAAGACGATACAACCTCGAGAAGAAAGCCACGGAGGAGAAAGAACTCCGAGTCTGCAAACGAAGAGAATTCGTCAATTCAAAATCTACCGGACGTTCCCCGTGAGACTCGTCGAAACGATAGGAAAAGCAACAACTTCAACAACCACTATAACCAACTATTTGAATCAGGACAGCATGACGATGCTAAATCTAAACAAGAACAGCAGGAAAATCAATACGACGAATTATTTTCGCTAGATTTATCCAAGCGTCGAGGGTCTCGATCTCGAGAACACCGCAGGGAAAGTCAACCGCTTTTCTCTGAAAAGAAAGAGCCAAATACAAGCAAGCAGCGTATAAGAAAGAGCGCTACGGCAGATGATAGCGACATGTCTGATATTGAAGTTTTAACAACGTCAAAGCACAGAGGACGTGGTACGCAGGATTTGACATTCTTAAGCTTCATTGACGTGAGTCTTCAATAAATCCTCGCTTTCTTTGTTATCCGCTCATCAAATTTATAGGGCCGCGAAATTGCACTCCTTCGAAAAACACTTGAGGAAGAGCGCATTGCACGCAAACAGCGACGTGCACAGGAACCAACTCGTTCAATCCTGAAAAATGCGGCTCATGTTGATACTTTACAATCTGAAAAATTTCCCTCGGCGCCGGCTATGAACAAAGAGTCTGGAGACCCAACTGAGTCTGCACGCAATCCAATATCCAGGACCCTCAAGCATAGCTCTCATGGAGATGAAGAAGGAACAGCAGCTCATGAAATGACCCAAGACACACGTTCTCTTAGTGATCGGCAGCGGGATCTAGGTGATATGACTTCCGCAATTATTTTGCCAGATATCACTTGGCACGGCGTCAAAATCTCGGCGGCTACGCAACGTGTTTTAGACGAAGTTGCCAATCACAAGAAGGAGAATTGCTTTGTTTGTCACGAAACGAAGAAGCGTGGTTCTTCTGATATGAATTCCAGCGCTTCATCAGTGAAGGTTCCCAAGCCTATACCCGTATCGGAACGTACGCCTGCGCCAACCGCCTATAACGAGGAGCCAACATTACGGCCGTCCCAACCGCCATCTGCAGCCTTGGCCTCTGTTCTCAAAGGGCTGGAAGATGAATTGGCACACTTGAAAATGCAGCTAACGGTGTTTCAAACGACGTACGCTAAGCATGATCCATCGCTTGGGAAACGGCAGCGGAAAGGCATGTGCCAAAAAATTGCGAGCCTCATGACAGAAATTGAGAAAAAGTCTGACCAAATATATTCCCTCTACGACGTTTTAGAAGGTCAAAAGAAACATGGCGAGGAAATGACAGACGAGCAAGTCGAAGTCACACTTGAATCTTTGGGCGTTGCCCCTGCTGGCAACTTTCCCGCGAAATTTGCAAAACAAAAGCAGGCACCACAAAGTAAAGCGGAGCCGAATGATAGTGACGATGGAGAATTGCCCTGGGAAGGATTTGATAGCACTATCGAATCCACAAGAAGAAGTCTGGGCCAAAGAGGATGAGTGGGCATGCATGTGACACTACTCGCCCTGCAACGGTGTTCTACACCCCCCATGCGGCGGAGCTCCAAGCGCCCCTCAAACCCACGAATCTTCCTAGGTTGAATCTTTTTTCAAATCTTTCAAATCCGCAATAATAATATATTGCAGAATCCAAATTTATATTCCTCATTCAGTTTAGCTCGAAAACGCGTCAGTACCGAATAAACGTCACTACACCTCCGGAAGACCCTCGTCCAACCGAACATTTGAATATAAAAGTGACGGATAACAACAACAAGGTCTTCTTTAAGATTAAGCCCACATTTTCAACTATTGTCTTATTCTCCCTCTAGTAACATTTTCACGGAAGAGCTTCGCAAGCGTGACTTCCAGCTATTCAGCCAACCGATAATATAGCACCCTTGATTCTCACTCTGGTTTCTGACTGGCATTCCGAATGCACCGTGTCCCAGCGTTGATCGAGTCGGGGCTATGAGTTTTGATTTTTAACTGGATAGTGACAGCCAAGTATTGATTGGGTTGTTTGAGCGCGATCAAGGTTGGGACTTGTTTCGACTACCTAGGTTGTCATACGCCTGATACAGCTTTCAAGTTCTTCTTGGGGCTTCACAAGCTATCCTGTCTTGTTTTACCAATACGCGGTTTTCGTTTTTGATTCCTTCTGGAGCGTTCGGCCTTTCATTGGCAATATGACTATATTTCTGTTTCGTTGGAAACCTCTTGGGCGTCCGTTTTGTATTAGTGAAGCGGGTGGGGTTGGTCCGGTTTTAATTATTTGTCTTCTTAGATGCAATATAAATTGTTCATTTCTTCATATCAAGTCAAGTCAAAGGATAGCAACTCCAACCCAACGTAGATTTTGAAAAACATAAAGAACCCAACGCCGCGCTATGTGCAAATGACGAGCCTTGGTAATATACAAAGCACATACAAGCTATGGAGCAGCAGCGAATCAAAAAACATCACCACTAGAAACTGCGGGCTTGCTCACCGCAGCCTCTGCAGCTTTTCCTGTTGCCACAGCTGAGTTTTTGTTAGATAATAAGGACGACGCGTCCAAAGTTGCGGATGGTGGATTTCGGGCCGAAATTTCGTCTTCGATAAAACAACCTAGGCCCGCAAAGGCTTCAAAAAGGCTTCTAGCGTAATAATCCTTCAGGTCATACCCTCCAGCAAGCACTCTAACGTCGTCTCGTATCGGATCCAGATAAGGCGAGGGATAGTAGTCCTGTAAAGTGTAGTAATCGCGGTTCATCAGTGACGATCCACCCGCGAACGGATCGTAGGGTTTCTCCGGTTCGGGGGTCTTGATCTTTCTGAGACCCTTGATTAAGCTTGGGCCGGTAGACGGTTTGGCTGCACCTGGAGGCGTGGGTGCACCCGTTTTTCCGGACTCTGCAAGGAGAGCTGCCTGTTTGCGTTTGATGCGCTCTTCTTCACTGCGCCTGGCGGAGGATTTCTTCAGCAGGCTTCCCCGCTTCGCTTCGCGGGCAATTGCTTCTGCGTCTTTGGTGCTACCTGTGGCAAGGCGGGTAATGATGTCCTCTCGTCCAGCGAGTTTTGCTCGTCGTTCGTTGTCGTAATCTTGTTTGGCGGCTTCGCGACGTTGCCGTAGGGCTTGTTGTTCAAGAGTCTGTTGTTCGAGGAGGGCGGCGGACTCTTCGGATTCGAGGTTCTTATTGTGGCGGATCGAGGAGGCGTGTTGGGATGCATATTCGGCGAGTTGGGCTTCTGTTTTCGCAACGTCGGTGCCGTAAACGAGGTTGGATATTATTTCTTCGCGTTGTTCAAGGAAGTCATCCCAGGCACGTTTATTATCGAATTCTTCTTCACGGCGGTTTAAGCTGCGGGAAAAAATAATCCATTAGCCCTTTTTCCCAAATGATGCACTGTGCCACATCTTGTAGAAAAGTCATATCCATTCATACATTCCCATCACTCGCTTTCTTATATCGACCTCCTTTTCGACACCTATATCCTCGAACGTCTGCTTTCGAAATCGATTCTTGCGAAGTGTTTTATGGCACCCTGCCACCGGACACGGTGCGGGGCCGGAAGAAAATATCCTATCCACACATGATTCGCACATCTTATGGTAGCATTCTGGATTTATGAGGAATCGCATGTCTTGGTTCAGGTAACGCGAGGACTTGCACACAGGGCATACTTCTGGAGCGGAGAATTGTTAGCTGGCGGGTGCTGTAGACGCGGTTGCGGCTAGATTTAAATTTACCGTCTTCTTCGCCATGACGGCCGACTCCATTCAGCTGAGGAGGCATCTTTTTAGAGAAGATGCCGGAGCTTCCTTCGATGGCACGCTGTTGGTAGGTGACAATAGCTCCTATGACATGTAGTCCAGAAGCGCGCCACTTACGTCCCAAGCATTCTACAAGCAGGAGATGCTTGCGGGCGGCAGGCTAAAAACCTCGTGTCACAAATATGGTGATCTCAACGAGTACGAAGACTCACTCCGCACTGTCGCGGACGAAATCAAGGGCTTCCAGTCGGCCTCGGATTCTATCACGTGAGCTCCCTCCTTGCATTTTGCTGCCTTTGTGACTTCACATACATAGTCTAGTTATAGGCCAAAAGGGGGTGAACACTCTCCGGCTTAGCTGGAGAATTGCAGTTGGCCGTCAAGTCCCTTTTTCTATCCGACAATTTGTCTTTTTAGGTATTGATTTGGACATCTAATCTACTGTATTGTGTTGATCTACAAATGGTAGAACTTCGAGCCATGCTTTCCTCTCCTCTTCGTTCCTGGCCTCACGGCTCAGGAACCTCTCGATACCCTCAGCCAGCTGTTTTTTCGAAAGATCAAAATCCTTGTGGCTCACCCTGCCATCCCAGTGTTTAAAACAGCCAGTATCTTTGATAAAATCTTCCATGAGTGCGACACCATGAGCCCATAGCTCTTCATCATGTTTTTGTTCTTCCACTTCAGCAGCGGATAATTGCAATGGGAATGGCACCAAAGGCCTACCATCTGAGTCAGCACCAACAATGTTTGACCACTCTTTCTCGACATCTCTCAATAGGTTATTGAGACACGGTTCGTAGTCGGTGAGTGTTAGCCCCGGTACTACGCTAACCTGATGAAGGAGGGTATCTTGTCCTTGAAAGGCCTGAAAAGCTGGAATATTGAGCTGCAAAGTGAGGGCAAAATAGAGATTGTGCAGTGTCTGCGCTTGGTGCAACTCCGTCGCTTTCCGCTGTTCATCGGGAGTTAAATCATCAAAGTTAGGAGGTAAGCTGACACGCGCAAGCTTTTCGGGGAGCGGGCCACTGTAATCCAAAAGCCCAGGGCGGGTAACCTGCATGAAAAGCGGGCAGGCACTGACAGATTGCCAGTCAATGATGCCCAGGATTTGGGCTGGGTCTTCGGGATTAACGAACACATTTTGCAGATGCAAATCACCGTGCCATAAAACCGACTCATGGGTTACGGGATCTTCTGGCAAAACATGGGGGCAGACCTTCAGGTAGTTGCGCAATGCTGACAGTTTTTTGGACGGGCTTGGTTGGTATTGCCTGGGACCGTAAAATAGTCCTTCTGGCATTATTGGATATCTCAAACTTGCTTTCACGCAAGCAATCTCTCTATGGGCAATGGCAACTAAATATTCCGGTAATGTGGACCCTGTGCAGTAACATTTAGTATGAGGGTCAGGTCTGAAGAGTGGACTAGCATATGGGTCCTACATGGCCCACGATCAATGTCTAGCTCCCCTTTCCCAAAATCAAAAAATGAACGATGGTTAGTTGGCCCAATAACAAATTTCTCACTGTGTATGTTCTCTCCGGTCCCGCCAACAAATAATAGCGTGTCGTTATCGGACGGCAGATCTTGCTTGTAATACAGAGCCCCGAACCTTTTGAATTTGGTGGACGCAAGAGTCTGTTCAATACCTACAACCTGTTTGATAATGTGGGCTTTCCCGTTCCCGCTCATATCGTCCCAAACATCGCTCAATATGACGCCGGCCTGTTTTTCCATGATAATGTACTCTGCTCCAGTAGGATTCTCCGCTGCTCTGGAATGCCACGCGTAGACCTTAGGAACCGGGAGGTGGAGGACATTTCTCAACTAGCACAGTAAGTATGGATACGATTAGAAGAGAAAGGAAGAATGCAGTACAAAATCCATAGTCGCAACTTCACAGGCGGTGGTGAAATGTGGCCTGCCTGCATTCGGGTTTGGCAATTTCGCGATGGCCTCGCGGCCGTCGTTCATAGTGAGCGAGAACACCTTATTGTACTGGCCTTCAGAGATTTTCTCGATTCGAACGCATGACTTTGATCCAACGGCAGTGGCAGCAAGTGCCAGAAGCTTCGCCAAATCAAACGGGACGTGTCGGGCTGCAAGCTGTTGGCGCTCGCCCCAGAGCCATCGGCCGGAAGTAAATCGGCTGAGCGCATCGGGATCATGGCTTGAATCTAGAGAGGCGGTATTAAAAGATGAGAGCAAAGAGTTGAATGGTTCCCGTATCCTTTCTCATACCTTTCAAATCTTGTTGGTTTTCACCCATGTCGCCAGGCTTGAAACCAAAAAAACGTCTGATACCCAGGCTCGAATTAGAAGCGAACCGCATCTTGGAGAAAACATTCCAGGCTATCCTGGAAGTGACATTCATGACACATTGCTAACTAGGCGATTAATCGCTAGAAATGCCTGCCTATGTTTGAACAAAGATTTGGAGGTGTGCTGTTCTAGAGTCACAATGGACTCTGGGCGAAGATGTGGCATTAGAGACGTGACTAGCGTTGGCATTAACTATGGCTACGGACTGGAAGGGTGAAGAGTCCGTACGCAGCCGCCTGGAATATGTGAACACTCTCTGCGTCTGGTGATGCTCTCCCTAGAGGATGACTTTCCTGAAAGGAGTGCATGAGTGCTTTCAACAAGTCTCCCGTCATCACCACACCCACAGGGGGCACCGACTCAATCATCAACGTTCCAATCCCATCCGCAGAGTCTCATTCAAACCGCAACACCCCAGCACCGCCGGGAACCATCAGCTCCTCCAGCCTGCCACCGAGCTCCAATCCCGCAGCGGGTCTACGCGTGTCTCAGTTGGGCGGATGAGTACAGCAACCCAAGCGGATGTGCCACATAGCTGATCCCCAGAGTCACAGAAGGGCCCTAGAAGTCCATGCTTCAGAGATCAACTGGTCTGGGGGGCGTGAATTCCCACTGCTATGGAACCAGGGCGGCTCGCGATTTGTTGGGGATATCAATCTGCTAGAAGATTTCGACTATGACAGTGTGGAAGACTGTCGGCTGGCATGCCGGCTTGGACTGGCTGAGTCCATGATGAAAGAGCAAGAATATACCCTTTTTCGTGGGGATTTCGTACCCCCTGTTGGCAGCATGGACAACGTCGATTTGGGCATGGAGGAACAGGTCTTTAGGGAGCCGAAGCCGCCGAACAATCTATTTCTAACATCGCAAGACTGGATGCACAGCCGATGATATCATAGAGATTGTTGCTCTTTATTAACCGCTAGCTATAAAGACTAAAACTATCCTGATGAGCATGATAAGTTACTTACTACAAATCACAGAGAATCTGAACGGAAGTCAGCTTTGAATTCAACCAAAGGAAGTCATTAAACACACTCACATCAGATTTGATGCCTTCTGTGCTCTTATATTGATCCCACCAACATTTTTCAATCACAAATCGGAGAGGCGCCGCAATATTGGATATGTCTGGAAACTGACGTAGCTGGAAAAGTTTGTGAATCTCGCGATCAGTTTTGTCTCTGTAGAGTCGATGGCCACTCTCAATCTCATATAATACCGAACCCAGCGCGAAGATGTCGTCTCTTTCAGTTTGATTTAATTGTCTTTCTTCAATGGCCAGGGGACGTGAGTATCGTGATCTTGTTGATACTTCGCTCTGGGACCCATCAAGGATCGAACCGTAGAAATCCGCTAGCACAAGCGAGCCGTTATCCCGTATGAGAAAGTTCTGAATACCAACATCACAATGTATGACCCCTTTAGAATGAATATACAAGATCGCCTCAATGGCCTGGCCTGACCACCTAAAAGCGGACGAAGCGATTAGGATGACACGATATCTAATCGATAGAGCCCCGGAGATGCGGACACTGCTTCACTCACTGCTTCCTTTCCGATGGAAAGTGCTCTGGTGCGATGTATTGGGCCAGCTTCCCCAGCGGGAGGTACTCGAAGACCAAACCACGCCCAAGAATGCACTCGAATTCCCCGAAACACTGCAAGATCCTGGGATGGGCACCAAGCCTCTTATAGACCTGTGGCTCAACATCGTCTTCCAATACGTCAAAAGGAATTTTTATAACCAGTTGCGTATTTGGAATTAGGAATACATCGCAGAACGAGCCACATCCCACACCTAAGAATTCACGCTTTGTGGCCTCAGCGAGGCTTCTCTGGACGACGGCCTTTACACCCACTGGCGAGTCATCCGATCTCTCCTCGATGCTCATCCTTGGGAAGCCGGAAAGGCTAGATCGAAGGGAATCTTGAGATTCAGCCCACTGAGCTGGAGGTTGATGTTGGGAGCGGATAATCTATAGTCCGATAATTGGATCTCTAGGTAAGGCTGCCCAAAAGGCTGACCGTTGTTATTTCTCTCTAGGCACTGTTATTTTATATATCAAGAAAAGTTTGTTACATCAATATCCTCATTATAGAGAGCTTATAGCGCCATTTTCTACGGGTCCAGTCTCTCAGAGTTGTCTTTTAGTCGACTGAGTATACACTGGTATTGAGGTCCACACTCCAGACCTCGATTTGATACTGCTGTTCCTGATCTACCTATTTACTATACAGCAATTCTGTTGCTCAGGGGAGCGTTTGTTTCTTGAGCCAGATAGTCGACCAAAGATTCAAGGTATACAGCCTGAGAACATTCAAAGGTCATTGAAAATATTGGTGTAAAGATATTGCTAACCCTCTTAGGTCCTACTCAATATGGAGATCAAAGTCATTAATGCGGTCAAAACCGCCCTTGCACCTACTAACACACCTTTTTGCATTGTCAATGAAGCTGCATTGAACTATTACAATGTTCCCCGAGTTATCATGGTATGTTGACTTCTAGGAGAATTACGGAGTTTTCAAATACTCACCAGAAACTAAGGCCATTGAAATCTGTGTTCCAGAATGCGACCTTCCGATCACGGCATCACAGCTTGCTTCATATGCTGATGTCTTTCGATCACATCCATGGCCGGACGAAGCGAGTTGCAACACAGACTATCTGAGACCCTATCCCCGCTTCCAAGCCTTCATCGAAGGTCAATCCTTCAGTGTGATAGTGCTCCCAGACACATTTTACCATCTTGACCCACTTCGCAACAACATTGTCCAGATTCAGACGTATCCTCTAGACCAGATCAGGTTCAGCCGGCAATTCGACTTTTCAAAGAATTTAGACACTCTCTCTTCCATCCCTGTACCCCGTTTGGCGACTCTTCTCCAAGGGGCAGCTCAGAGATACCTTGAATCAAAAGAGTATGCCATGGCGGTGTGTGTAGAGGAGTTGGTGGACGGCATGAACTTGGATGAAACCTGGTGTCTTAATCATCTTGATACCGAGAAAAACAAAGTGGTTGAATGCATCCTAGACCGTATAGCAAGCAAGGGATCACGTATATCCGAATTTCAGCCAGGAAATATCACCTGTTTTGTCGAAACAGAAGAGGAAGCACGAGATTTGCGCATGATTCCTGGATATGATGAGCCAAGCTGGACCCGAGAACAGCAGACTAAACCAAAGGAAATACAAAACTTTGACCCGCGCCTGACGCCAGGTTGGCTCCAATCGGCACTGCTCTTCCTCAAGACAGCAATCTCGAACCTCAAATCGGCGATATTCCACCAGTCCCCCTCCCATCCAGTTTATTTTCAATTCGTATCTGACCTTCACTTGGAAGATGGCCAGCGTTATGAAACTTTTGTTATAACAAGAATTGCACCTTACTTGATCCTAGCTGGCGATATTGGATGCCTATGCAACTACAAAGAGTATGTTGCCTTCCTTGCTGAGCAATGCACCAAATTTGACCATGTTTTCCTGGTTCTCGGTAATCACGAGTTCTATTGGATGTCTCACCAAGACGGCCTTCAGGCAGCAAAATCACTTGAAGTTGAGCCACAGCTCCTCGGCAAACTCACTGTTCTGAATAGAAATCGAGTCGACATCAACAGAAGAGTGACTATTCTAGGTTGCACCCTGTGGTCTCAAATTCCGGAAGACTCACAGCTGTGGGTTAGGATGAAGATCGCGGATTTCAGCATGATCAAGGATTGGACCGTTGAAGCCCATAATACTGAACACAATAAAGATGTCCAGTGGCTGCAGCAGGAACTCTACAATATCTCGCTTGAAGGAACAAACCGTGATGTGATTGTTGCCACACACCACGCTCCAAGTTTCCTGAAAACTGCCGACCCCAGACTTAAATCTCAACCTTGGAGGAGCGCATTTTGCTCAGACCTACTTGAGTCTCAGGTCAAATCCTGGCGAAGCTCCAATGCAATTCGCTGGTGGATCTTTGGGCATACCCATTGGAATACAGCATTCCGCTATCGTGGCATGAATATACACAGCAACCAGTTTAAATACGACTCTCAGAGAGTTCAAGAGCCGGGATTCTTTAGTTTTTGGCTCAATCAACTCGGGAAGCATTTTGTTGTCACAAAGGTTGCGAAAGTATGAAAACCAGCTATGCGCAGCCATCCTACAACAATATTGACCTCACCGCTTAAGTTACTCCATGATGCCCTTCTGAACATTATAAGTAGGTGGACTCATCCATGTTACCTCGTCCGATTGTATTTCCTGCGCTTGAAATACATCAATTCCAACTGAAGAGAGTGGCTCAGAGAGCTCGGGATACCTTCTCACGGCTTTACCAACGTCTCGGAGATTAATACTTGTAGCGTGCGGTCGAAGGTGTTCCGCATATTTGCTTAGAAGGTGCTTTAGGTCCATTGCATCCGAAACTTTAGCCCGGTCAGCTGCGGCATGGAGCTTGCCCTTGAAAATTGAGACTATGGCAAGGAGCTGAACCGGCTCATTGTCTATCAATACGGTCTGAGTGTCAACAACTCGCATCGCTCGACGTGCGTTTTCAGTATTTGCGGGTGAGGCTGTTGAACCTACAAGTTTTAAGAAGGATATTCGATAACTGAGATGGTGGTGGTCACCTATGAATATCTCAACAAGAACAGGTCTCTGCAAGGCATCATCCCAAAAGAAAGGAGCATAATCTTCTCTCATGTTTGGGATCTTCACCCAACCTATTCGACCTTCCATCAGCTGCCAAAGTTCGTCTTTTCCAATTGCTGCCATTAAATCGATATCTTTAGTGGCCCGATTACCGCCGAGGACATTCACCGCCCAACCGCCAAAAACGCCATGTTTAATTCCATGGTCGGAGAGGATTTTAGAGACTGCCACCGCTGCTTCTGATAGCCTCTTCTGAGGAACAGCCATGGTGCTAGAACGTAATGGACCATACAAGAGTAACAGGACTATATGTGAATGAGAAGAGGGGCGGGGAAGGATTTCTACTTTACACATGCAAGGATCGTTAAGTATGACAAGCTTAATTGATACCTTCCACACTAACCTGGCAAGCAAGCAATTGGTTGAGCACGGTCAAATGCGGGCAAAATAAGTAATATAGTCACCACCTTTCAGGATTGATTTCATCAGTGAAAGAAATGCCCTCATGGTTCGAGGCTCTCAATTTTGTTAAATGAGCCATGGTAACCCGTGTAGCCACGTCCAGTAGTCCCCTGTCGTGTACGGAGTACAGGATCCAGCATGTCGATTCATGTTGGAGCTGACTGACACATAGTTAACTACGTCAGCAAGCTCAGACGGCTCCTCCGATTCAATGCTAGTTAGGCCTTTTCAGGCCCAGGCTAACGCCTTTGGGGCCACGCGCTTCTTTATGTCTAGAATGCCTGAGTCATAAGGGAGTGTTGGACCGTCTCATACAAATGCCACTTTGAATCACCTAGGATTTCTCAATCACCATATGGGATAGAGTTCTATAAGTCTCATCAATCCATGTTATTATAGTACAGATTAGGTGGACGCGAACAATTCTATCGCATACCGCGAACAGACTCCGCTAGGAAAAAAGAAATCGCGCCGCCTTGGGTTCATTCTCAATTAAGGACAGTGAAGGACACCACCATCATGCGTGTGGCAGCCCTATAAATGCATTGATTAACGTCCACTCTAATTACCTATCAAGGGGTAACACGAACCGGTGGTACGGCAGCTGCAGTTGTCGCAGGGGGCTGGGTGGTGGCACTCGGGGAAGGCGGCGTAGAGGCAGAGGGCTCCCCCGCGCACCCAACTCCCGGAATCGCTATGTCAAAGCCATACACGTCGGCAGCAAAGTACTGAAGTGTGTCGCTGTCGCGAACGGCAAAAGAAGAGTTATGCGCACCAAGCTGAAGTACATCCTCGTATGTATTTGAGAAGTGCTCTACATGGCCCTCTCCGATTGCGGGCATGTGGTATAGACGGTGCAAGAGGTCTGTGCCGAAATAGGTCTTGAGAGGCGAACCAGAAACGGTGTAGCCCCCTGTGCAAAAGTATTCAAGGAACAGACGGGTTTTATATGATAGAGGACAAATCACGGTTTCTCCTGTGGCGTTGGAGCCGCGCCAATGTCCACCATATGCTAAAGTCACATCGAATAAGCATCTCCTTGCTCGAATAATAAGATAGGAAACGAGCAATGTCAAGGACGTTCTTACTTGGTATCTGGCAATTGCCGTCGGGATCATCACAGCGAAACAGGGTATTTCCTTTATCGGCATTGACGATCCGGTACAAGTTCCCGATGACCTCTCCGGAGGGAGCATTGCCAAAGCACTTTCGGTCCAATGCAGAAGTATTTCCAAAGCAGAGGCCGTGCTCTTTTGCACGTTTCGATAGGGTCATGGCGTCGTCCAGTCCTGGAGGGATCAATCGCCGCTCCGTGGCGTTGCAGGACTTGGGGATGGGGTATTTCTGTACCGCGCCTTGATCACAAGGAGGAAGATCGTTGCCGGGTTGAAGTTCTCTGCCGGCAAGGGGGGCTGCTAGGAGAGGGCTCGCAATGACCAGGAGAGGAAGTATAGAGAGCTGCATTTTGGGCTGTTCTGGGATCTCAACTTAAATTCTGGCTAGTAAACAATCAACGCTTAGGCGGCTATTCAACCCTGCTTTTCTGGTTCATGCAGGGTATTTATGTATACAACGCCGACTTCCGTGGCCGATTGGCGGTATGATGAAGGCAGCGGCATTGCGCACAAGGTAGTCCGAAGGGCCTAAATTGCTCAACCAAAGGCGATAGACTGACCAATCGGCCTGATTTCTTTTGAATCGACAGCCTCTGCTCCATAATGGTGTCTGGATGACTCTTGTGGCCATCCCGCCTCTTCTCTCTCTTCATGATGTTTCTCTCAAGGTGGTTCTGGGATAAACGCAGTCGGTTTTGGCGCCATATCCTTAGTCAGCACCAATAGGGACAACCAACCAACTCTAATCCAACGTTCACCTCTCTGTCTGCTCTGACAACAACATCCAGATGCATCAACATCTCCCTCAAGGTGACGCTGAGAGTGAAGCCAGGCTGCTCCGGTGATACCCAGCCTGGCCAACATGGGATTTGCCGCCTTGGCGAGTTGCGCCATCCCAGGACGCAGGGCCCAATTCCAACCCCGGCAGCTCCCGCCAAGCGCGCAGAATGGAGCTCTCTGTTGTCTCCAAAGGTCCTCACAGCCCGGATCCCGCTGAACATTTCTTGACATTGCTTTTGCCGACGACTGGCTGTGGGCCAAAGAGCACGTTCTTTAGCGAAACCCTGCCTCGTGTTTGCGGCCGCGCCAGTGATGCTGCTTCTGGGACATTTCCACCAAAGTCCTCAAAATATAATTCCTGCAATTGGACACACAGATCCCACTGGACTTAGCGTCAATATCCCGCTTGCATCTGGATGATGGAGTCTCCATGTACCTTGGCAGGGAATTTGATTTTTCACGCTCTGCCTCATTGCCTGGTCCTCGCAAGGCACTTTTGTCGTTGGCATGTGGTGCACATTGGAACATTCTCATTTTTAATCCAACTCTTTTGGAGCAGACCCTGCTCGTATTGAATCGCAACCTTGGTGTC